GCATTTTGTATTCTTCATTGATTTTACCATTGGGAAATACATACAAAAGCTCACTTCAACCATTGTATATATTACAAAAAAGAGCGATAAGAATTGTGCATAAGATGGGATATAGGGATCACACCAATGTAGCTTTCATACAGTCTAAATTGTTACAATTTTTTGATTTAGTGGGATATAAGACTGCTGTGTTTTTGTATAAAGCCAGGAACAATTTATTACCTGGTGGAATTCAAAAACTATTTAATGAAAGGGAAGGGGGATACAATTTAAGGGGTCAGTTAAATTTAAAAATTCATGCTATACGTACAACCAAAAAAAGATTTTGTATTTCCATAAGTGGGGTAAAACTATGGAATAATTTAAGTGTGGACATAAAAAATAGTAATAGAATTGATGAGTTTAAACATAAATATAAAGGTATGTGTCAATCAAGATATATGCAAGAACAGGCTCAATGATTAATTAGATGGAACATTGTGGGTGTGGTGTATATTTTGTAACCATTCTTTAGTATATCACTTGTGTGATGTAAGAATGTTAACACTGTTATATTCTTTTTTTAGTATAATATGTGTGTGCGTAGAAGTGAATCATTTATTGCTTGCAAACCAATGATGGTAAGATGATGTCATGGGGTAGGACTGGATAAGTCTGACTTCTTCCTACTCCATTCAAGCATGTACTATTGTGTGTAAAAATGTGTGTTGTTATATCAACTGTTTTATATGCTTGAAAGAATAAATCAAATCAAATCAAATCAAACTCTCCAGCACATTGTCTGAAATCATTTCTGGTGCTTTTCAAGTCTGTTTTGGGTCATTGTCCTGCTGTAAGACCCATGATCTCTGATGGAGACCCAAATTTCTGACACTCCTACATTGTGCCCCAGAATTCACCGGGAGTCTTCAGATTTCATAATGCCACACACAGCCGAGACATCCTGAATGAGCTTTATCAGAATCAGCTTTGCCAGGTGTGATATTAACAGGGGAAAAATGTGACTGGTACAGTGGCTCTCAATGTGTATGTACAATGTTCTTCAGTAACGCAACAAGTAGAGAAGTAAACAAGATAACACAAGATAACAAAAAGGAAAAAGAATGTGCATTAGGAAGATAAAAATACTCAATACGGAAATATACATCAATCATGCATAACATTTTGACCACCTGTACATCTGTATGCACTTCAATGCAACACTTCCACCTTAACATTTGTGTTTATGAAGCTCAAAATGTTTGTTTTTGGTGAGATTGTCAAATGTATAAATTCAATTATATGTTCATTATTGAGGTCAAAGTTAAAGGTGTTGTTGTAATCTAGCCACAGGGGTTGCAAGCCAGTGACTTCTGTGCCCGTCCCAAGCCCGGATAAATAGAGAGGGTTGCGTCAGGAAGGGCACCTGGCGTAAAAACATGCCAAATTTAAACATGCGAATCATCAGTGCGAATTCCATACTGGATCGGTCGAGGCCCGGGTTAACAATGACTGCCACCAGTGCTGCTGACCTACAGGGTGCTGGCGGAAATTGGACTACTGTTGGTCGAAGAAGGAGAGGAGGTAGAAGGATTCGTAGACAGAGAGAGAAGAGGAAAGGCAGGAGTATAGGTCTGAGAATAGGGACTCTTAACATTGGCACAATGACAGGAAAAGGTAGAGAGCTAGTGGACATGATGGAGAGAAGGAAGGTAGATATGCTGTGTGTGCAGGAGACCAGGTGGAAGGGTAGCAAAGCACGTAGAATTGGAGGGGGATACAAACTGTTTTAATATGGTGTGGACAGGAAGAGAAATGGGGTAGGAGTGATCCTGAAGGAGGAGCTCGTGAGGAATGTTTTAGAGGTGAAAAGAGTGTCAGACAGGGTGATCAGTTTGAAGTTGGAAATTGAAGGGGTAATGTTGAATGTAGTCAGTGGTTATGCTCCACAAGTAGGGTGTGAGTTAGAAGAGAAGATGGAGAGTATTCCCAGAGGGGAGAGAGTGGTGACTGGGACAGACTTCAATGGGCACATTGGTGAGGGGAACAAAGGTGATGAGGAGGTGATGGGCAGGTTTGGTGTTAAGGGAAGGAACCTAGAAGGACAGATGGTGGTGGACTTTGCTAAGAGGATGGAAATGGCTGTAGTTAACACCTATTTCCAGAAGAGGGAGGAACATAGAGTTACATATAAGAGTGGAGGTAGGAGTACGCAGGTAGACTACATTCTATGTAGACGAGGCAATCTGAGAGAGATTAGTGACTGCAAAGTGGTGGTAGGAGAAAGTGTAGCCAGACAGCATCGGATGGTGGTGTGTAGGATGACTCTGGTGGTCAGGAAGAAGAGGAGA